CCCCCGCGGGGGCAGCTCGCGGCCCGCCGCGTCACGTGATGCTCCCTGTTAACAGGTCGCCCGAGGCTGGGCTCGCTGGGGTCACGGGGGGGGCGGGGGGGCGGGGCGAGGGACGTTTGGCTTTTCCCCTCTCCCCCCACAAGGGTGTCCTAGTGTCTGTGGTTGAAACCAACGGCTTCCCGCAGAGGAGGTGCAGCTACCTTCACAGCTCCCCCTGAGCAAGGGGGTGTCAGAGCTGCTTGGGCTTTCCTAGCAGAATCAAGAATGTGTTTAGGGAGGCCCCCAAAACCATCTTCCTGGCTTTAATGAAAAGGAAAAGGCTTCCGTCGGCCCATTCTCGGAGGCTGTCAGCAGGCCTCTCGCTACAGTGGGTATTGAAGTTCTCCCTGCTTACTTACCCCAGAAGGGTTGGGGTTTTTTCCCCCTCTTCTTGAGAAGCTTGGAAATGTCACCTGTTTTTGTTTATCTCTTCCCTGAAAACTTGACACATTGCTGCCAGTCTAAATTTGGATACTAATGGGCCACTATTTTTACTCTGGGGTGTCAAATAGGACAGGAAACACATAGCTTCACTGGAATTTGAAAAGGGAAGCAGTACGATGATGTCAACAGAGGTTAGCTGACCCTACAAGGCTGACTGCTGTGGTGATTAAAGGTCCAGACCATAGAAGGAAGTGAGAAGGTAGTAAGTGGAGAAGTCCCATTCAGAGAATCCAGACATCACTACCTGCCATCTCCCCTGGCTTAGTCTTTGTTCTCTTTGGCCTCTTTTTCTCTTGCGTAAGCCAGATTTTCAGGGAAAGAAGACACTTGAAACTGTCCTGTGGGCATTTTAGAGGAATTATTATATCCTGTGAATCTGTTCTATGAGATCCAGATCTATTTCACAAAGTCTTTTAAAATGTTAAAATGCCCCACTTTCAACACAAGTTTAAGGATAAATTTTAAAAGCTCCATGAATGTTAAATTAGCATGATAGTCCTATGTAATCTTGCTAGTTTCAAATGAAATGCTAACATACTCAGAAAGTCTGTGTACACCATCTGCTAGCCAAGTCCAAAATACTGTGCTTCAATCTGGTGGCTCTCAAAAGATGCAAAGCTAATGGTTAACATTTTATGTATCATCATGAATTTTGTGGTCTCCTCCCATTCCCGTTCCCCCCCTTTTTTTTCACTATGGCTGGTGAAAATTTGCAGCACCATGCTTTTGCCAAGAACATAAAGTGCTTAAACCAGCAGGCTTCATCTGTGTCAAGCCAGTCCCAAATTTCTCAAAACTGTAATGACTTCCTTCAGTGCATCTGCAATCCATCTGCAGTTTGGTGCCCAGTTTGCTGCCCTGTGTCCATTGGGCCGTGGAGTTACCCAATTCTTAAGACCTCCTTGCTATTCTTCTGTGGGTTCCACTTAATAAGTTACCGGGTGGCCTGAGCCTCTGCATTGGTAGACCCCTGCTGAGGTCAACAGGAGCTAAATCAGTAGCTAAATATTTCATCTTTAGGGAAAATGTAAAAGTTATTCCTAAACACACAGAAGGCAACACGTATTTTTTGCACTACTATGAATGACATTCTAGGAAGGTATTTCACCATTACTTTTACCAAAGAGATTCTTACCACCATTACTCAAATAACTGTAGACATGTTCACCTTATAAATAAACTAGCTTCTGTTAGAAATATCACTGTACTTTTTTTCAAGGGTATATTTTAGAAGTTTCTAAATATGTAAACAATTAGTGTCAATTAATTGTTTGGGTCCCCTAAATTAAAAAGTATATTGTAGAGAGGTACGAGGTACAGGGGAGGGAACAACCGTTTTTTGAATGCTTTCTATGTGCTAGGAACACTACATGAATTTTTTCATTTAGTTCTCATTACTATAACTCTAAAAAGTATTGTGCCACTTAATACAGGGAAGAAAAAAGTCTTAGAGATTAAATGCTTATATAATTTTTCTCTATTGCTTAAAAAAAAAAATCTTAGAAGTCCCAGAATCCCACAAATACTCAAGTGATAGAAGCGAGATTTAAAAACTCGTTGTCTTTCCATTACTTTATCTAGATTCTTTAGGCAAGACTTGAAGCAACTACCATATATATTAAATTCATTGAACAAATACTTCTTGCCTGCATACCCTGTGCTAGGCATTGCTAGGTGCTGATGTAATAATGTGTGACGCAAACATGGTCTCTGTTCTCAGAGTTCTTATACTATTTTAAATGGCAACAGAGGAGAAAAATAAGTGGAGAGAAGAAAATATGCTGCACCTGAAGAATCTTTATGATGCCTGTAACTTTAAGAAAATGAGGGAGAAAAAGAATATGGAAGAGGGGATTGATCAGAATTTTTACCTTTTATTATTTCAGTTAAGCCCATTCCCAAATCCAAAGAGTCTACCAGTTCCCTACTCCCACTCTTCTTAGACATTAAGGTTATCTAAATTATAATCTTTTGACATTCTGTTAGCTAAGCTGACATGAACAACTTGGCAACCCCTTCATCCCTCACCTTTCAATGTTTATGTTTCCTGATGCTGCCAAATCAAAGATCATAATCTTATATAACCTTACACAAAGGTAAGGACTTTTCTTTGAATGTAGCTGAGCTCTCTTGCTAGAACTTCCAAGCAAGGACTTCACTTCCTTATTCAGACTCGCAGCATACACCCTTGTGATAATAATAATTACATGCAACTTTGTTGATTACCCTATGCTAAGCACGTTACATGCATTATCTCAGTTAAACCCTAAGACCACCTCATGACCTGAAGTGGCAGAGACACCTCTGAATTCCCCAAAGTCTGTTTCCTTTTCTCCTGAGCACACATACTATGTTTCCCAGCCTCTCTTGTGATTAGTTGGGGTCAATACACAATAGACTATGGACAGAAACAATGAAAACTGTTTAGGTTTTGGCCCACAAAACCTCTAAAACCTCCTACACATGCACCATATTCTCTTTCTTTCCCTACCTACCAGCTGAATGAAGATTTCAAAGAATCTAGAGGAAGTCAAAACTGCAAAATAGAAGAAGCATGAGGCCCCAAATTAGTCCTTGAAGGAATCCTGCCCCAGAGAACTGCATGACCAGGAACACCTGTATTGGATTTTACTTGTTTTATTAAATTATGCCTCTAAAATTTTAATGCTGTGTGTTATAGTAGTAATTAACTACCCTACCTAATGCCCTTCGTTTCTCTCCATTTTACTGATGAAGAAATTGAGGCTTAAGAAAAGTTAAGCAACTTGCTTAAATTTGCTCAGCCGTTAGGTAGGGGAGCAAGGATTAGATCTCAGGTCTGTCTGACTTTAGAGCTTGAGCTCTCACTGCTTGAGATCCTCGTGATACTATTTTATGTACTTCTAAAAACTTTATTAAAATTTTAATACACACTGCTTCACCTAGCATGCAGAAAAGACAGAAATCAGGGTGACCACCAGGTTCTCTCCCATATGTGAGACTGTCTTACTATCTTTAACTCATTCCTGCCACATTTTCCTTTCTTCCAGGTATATTAATTCTATAATTTCAATGACTTTCAATGTATTTGGGCCTTTTATACCTCTTGAAAGATGACATGTGGACTAGCTCTTAAATATAATCCTTCTCTTAAAAGGAAAGACTAACCAAACCTTGACCCTGAATCATCATCAAAAACTCTTTAATTATGAAGCAGAATAAAAACAGGATACCTGTGCTGTTAAGGTACATGGGGTCCATTCTTCTCTGTAATATAAAGAGGCTGAATCAAGTAAAAAGGGATTAGAGCATGCAACACTGAACTAAAAGATCAGAGTTTCAATGTTAATGGTAAAATTAGGATATTAAATTTTGACCAATAAGTATCACTAAAATTAAGGAGATTTATTAATTCATTTGAGGCAATGGGAGAAATACCAGTTTGGAGTCAGACACACTTAGGTTCGAAACTCTGGGCAAGTTATTCAGTTTCGTCATATGTAAAACAGGGGCAGTAGCATATATCTTACAGATTTCTTGTCAGGATTAAGATAATGTACATTTGTAGCCTTTATTTAGATTCCACGTATAAGCGATATCATGTGATATTTGTCTTTGTCTTACTTCACTCAGTATGACAATCTCTAGGTCCATACATGTTGTTGCTAATGGCATTATTTCATCCTTTATTATGGCTGAGTAATATTCCATTGTATATATGTACAAATGAACTTATCTACAAAATGGAAATAGAGTTACAGATGTAGAAAATAAACTTATGGTTACTGGGGGTAAGGAGTGGGGGAGGGATAGATTGGAATATTGGGATTGACACATACATACTACTATATATGAAATAGATAACTAATAAGGACCTACTGTATAGCACAGGGAACTCTACTCAATACTCCGTAATGGCCTATATGGGAAAAGAATCTACAAAAGAGTGGATATATGTATACGTATAACTGATTCACTGTGCTGGACACCTGAAACTAAAACAACATTGTAAATCAACTATACCCCAATAAAAATTAAAAAAATAAAATAATGTGCATAAAAACTAGTACAGTGCTTGACACACAGTTGTCACTCAATGAATAAAATCATTCAACAAACATTTGCTCATAATTTACTATGGGCAAAGCCTTCTACTAGAGTCTCAGGATACAGATATAG